GGCACGATTTGGTTAAGCAGTCCGAGTTGCTCTATTACTCTTGACCTGATAATGTTGGCTGAGCTACCTAGATCCATAAGTACATGCTTTATTTGAAATGTATTTACACGGAAAGAGATTACCAGGGTGTCATTGTGGGGTTGAGACAAGGTCTAAGTGTCCTCTTCGCTGAATGTGAAGGCATCCTCGGGTATATACCCCCGGGTTCGCTTTTCTCTGGTGATGGATATTTTTGTCCTTCTCATCACGGGTTCCTATGGGGAATCGATGCCTCCCAAGATCATGTGGATGACATGTTGTGGCTCATTTGTTTCGTTCTTCTTGGCCGTCTCTCTTTCTCGGAACTAATTTTTGGCTCGGTCACTAAGGAATTCCCGGAGGTGACCTTTGTTAAGTAGTTGGGCTACCTCTTCTCGGAGTTGGTGTCAATCCTCGGTCATGTGGCCGTGCGTGTTGTGAAATTCACACACTAAGTTATGATTCATTTGCGAAGGATCTGATTGTACAGGCCTGGGCCATCTCGAATCTCTAATTTTATCGATGGTGAACACGATGTCAGATACATCGACGTTGAAGTTGTATTCTAATAAGTGAGATGCCTCCATTGGCCCTGCATTCCTATTGAATTCGGCCTTGTTGATGAGTCCCCGAGGATTCTGTCCTCGGTCTATCCTTCGATCGTTGCGAGGTGGGCTTCGCCCAGGGGCGTTCCTTCTGTCTTCGGCGTATGGATGATATCTTTCTTTGTTAGGTTTTGGCTCCTTCGCCAGAATCCTACTTGGGTACACTAAGCCCGAGGGGGCTCCTAGCTGGTCGTCTTCGACCCTGATCTTCGACTGGTATCGGTTGTGGACGTCCGACTAAGTCACAGCGGGATACTCGACCAAATTTTGTTTCAACTGCTTTGAAGCCACCGAGCTTCGTTCATTCAGACCTTGAGTGAAGGCCTGCACTGTCTAGTCGTCGGAGACTGGCGGTAGTTCCATCTGTTCCATTTGAAAACGAGATACGAACTCTCGCAGAATTTCGTTCTCCCTCTGCTTGATCTTGAACATGTCAAATCTCCTTGTTGCCACTTTGATGGCACCGGCATGTGCCTTTATGAAGGAGTCTGCCAACATGGCGAATGAGTCTATGGAGTTAGGGGCTAGGTTGTGATACCACATCATGGCCCCCTTCGAGAGTGTCTCCCCGAACTTCTTTAGTAATACGGACTCTATATTGTTGTCCTTTATGTCGTTGCCCTTCACTGCGCAAGTGTAAGCAATAACATGCTCATTGGGGTTTGAGGTCCCGTTGTATTTTGGGAGGTCTGGCATTCTGAACTTCTTTGAAATGGGTTTCGGATCCGCTTCCTCTGGGAATGGCCTTTGTACAAACTTCTTCGAATCCACACATTTCAGGATTGGGGGTGCGCCAGAAATTTGGTCGACCCTATAGTTGTAGGTCTCGACCTTCTTGTTGTTGGCTTCTATCATTTTCTCACCCCGATTCGATCCTTCTGGTGAGGTCCTCAAGCATTTTTATGATGACGGGATCGGTCATCGACCCGTTATTGCTCGATCTTTTCGGTACCTGTTCGGCTGGGGGAGCTGTCCCCGGTGCTACCGTGCTAGGATTTTTCTGGTGACTTTGCAGCTAAGCAATAGTTAGTTATTGTGCTTGCAACATTTCAAAAATAACATGAAGGATAACCTCCCGTTCTTCCTTGGTTGGGGTTTTCCGAGCCTTTTATTGATCCCCTTGGTGCACGCTCCTGTCAGTGTGGGAGCTTATGTCAATGTGTTGGGCGTCGCATGAGACCGCGTCCACGGGGATTGGTTCTGGTGCATTCCCAGGGTTTCGTGGTGGCACACCAACACCTGAAACAGCCACACCGTTTTTTCCGTGGTCCTCAAGATTGTCGTTTTCACCTTCATTCACTGAATTAGACATTTCGACCTGAAATCGAAGATCTTGGACAAGAGAAAGCGTGAAAGATAACTTGTGTTATGTAGTAAAACCATCAAACAAATAATCACTATTATTTTTATCCCCACAGTGGGCGCCAAACTGTTTACCATAAAAATGGTAATAACAATTAAATTTGATTATAGGATTCTAAAAATATGTGATCTATTTTTATGCTAGTTTGTTAAGCAGTTGATGCTATGTGTGAGGTTTAAAAACGAGATAAGAGTAAGGAGTAAGGTGATATTCAAACCGATAGGTTAACAATCGGGGCCTCGAGGTCGATTCCGGGGCTCGGCTATGGGCTATCGAAGGTGATTAAAGTGTGGCGAACAGTTATAATAAAATCAATGAAGGCTCTTTATAGCCAATGATAATCAATAAATGATGAACAATAATGAAGATAATAAATTGAAGCAATAATATCAAGAGAATGTGTTAGAGAGCAAAGCAAATGTTCTTGTATATTTCGTGTGGAGCAACTGAAGCAACAAGAGTTTACAAAATGACAAGGATCCCCTTTATATAGGAGGGAAATCCCAACATAGTAAAAATGCATTAATGACAAAGATAGGGGGATGGGGTAGCTAAATGACGTCCTGATTCGGGTTTGGAGCAATCTACTAGGCTCTGTCAGTCCTAGCCGTGTGCCTTGGGAACTCCCTATCTCTACCATTACCGTGATTTTTACTGCCCCGAGGTCGAGTGTCGACAACCCTCGAGAGAGGATACTCGGTCATAGCCTCGAGCCTTCGAGGTGATCTTCTGAAATGCCTTAATGGCGAGAAATTGGACCCTCCGATTTCACCGTATACAACATAATTATTTTGCAGGTATAATTCTTCTAGATGTTCCATTTCCTTCTCCCGTTCCTTAGTATCTGCAACAAAATGTTTACTAACACCTCTCTGGACCACTTAGAAAGTCTATTACTTGTTCTTTAATTTTTGATGAAATCTCCAGATAGGGTTGCCCTCAACTTCTATGGTCCAACCATCTCTAATTACATCCTTAAAGCCTTCTCGATCAGTCCATAAGTTAAGAAATCTAAAATATCTCATTGTAGGTATACTACCAGAGGTTACTTTCATCCATAGAGAGGCATGGTCAGAGTTTACTCTAGGTAGATGAATTACTAAGGAGTTGGAGTATTTGGTATCCCACTGGTGATTGAGCAGAACAAAGCATTCTTTTGTATTTCTGAATCTTATCTTTGTCCACAAAGAGTTCTAGTATAGCAATAAAGGTGAGATTGTTATTGGTTTTGAGGTATTTTAGTCTATCAAAGGTATTTTTAATGCCTCTATTGTTCCAAAAAAGGGTGTTAATCATTGGAGGGATTGGGCGTAGTTGTGAGCTTAGCTCTAGATCTTGTCAGAGAGATACACGAAGAAATAATAGTATCATTTTTACTACGGAAAAGGGCTAAATATACCCCTCTACTTTCAAATATTGTTTATCTGTACCCCTCGTTATACTATTGGACTATCTATACCCCTACCGTCATACTATTGGGTTATTTATACCCCTACTATCATACTTTGAAACAAAAATACCCCTATTTTAAATAGAGTGTCACGTGGCAACACCAGATTAAAACGACTCATTTCCTTTTTTTACCCAACCCGTTTTAAAAAAAAAACACGACCCCTATTTTCATTTTTACCAGTTTTTTTTTAAAATTTTAATTTTTAAAAAACGAAAATATTTTGTTAAAAACAAAAAATATTTTTTTTCTATTTTTACAAATTTGTTTTTCCAGTTTTTACAAAACAAAATTCTTTTAAAAAACTGAAAAAATGAAAAAAAATATTTTTCAAAAACGAAAAAATTTTGTTGAAAATATTTTTTTTTCTATTTTTACAAAAAAGAATTCAGTTTATACAAATTTGTTTTTTCAGTTTTTACAAAAAGAAAATCTTTAAAAAAAATGAAAAAACGAAAAAAAAAACATTTTTCAAAAACGAAAATATTTTGTTGGAAATATTTTTTTCAGTTTTTAAAAACGAAAATATTTTGTTAAAAACTGAATTTTTTTTTCTTTCAGTTTATACAATTTTTTTCAGTTTTTACAGTTTTTACAAAAAACAATATTTTGTTAAAAAAACGATTTTTTCAGTTTTTATAATATGTTTTGCAAAATCTTTTCAGTATCTACTCAGTTCAAAAAAACGAAAATATTTTGCAATTTTTTTTTAAGTTTTGCAAAAAGAAAATTCTTTAAAAAAACTGAAAAATGAAAATATGGTTCGGGTTGTGGGTTTTTTGTAAAACGGGTTGGGTAAAAAAAATGGGTCATTTTAATCTGGTGCTGCCACGTGGCACTCCATCCAAAATAGGGGTATTTTTGTTCCAAAGTATGACGGTAGGGGTATGAATAGCCCAATAGTATAACGAAGGGTACAGATAAACAATATTTGAAAGTAGAGGGGTATATTTGGTCCTTTGCCGTTTTTACTATTGTTTGCATGTATGTTTTGGTTAGTGTTGGATTGTGTACTCCAAAAATAGCACAATTTAGCAGCAAGAATATCAGTTTTTTGATAGCTTAACCACCTTTTAGACTGAAAAGAGACCACACTTCTTGCAGTAAAACTTTCAAATCATTTTTAAGCTTCCAGAAATATCAAAATTTCAACATAATTTCCACTAGAAAGTTGAAGGGGGTTACTTTGTAGCAATAGTTAAATTATCTCCGTCTAACCTATATGTTATGAATTGAAGCCATGAAATCAACCATTAATGTTTGTGCCAGGATAGGCTATCAACATTACACTCTTGGGGTGCAAATCTTCCCTAGACACTACGTGAACGTGAGATGCTTCATGGCCGTATTTTCTATTCCGTTGGAAAGTTCATTCCAGAATTTGGATAGGCTGAAAGATTTACATTAACCATAATAAGTATTTTTCACCACCACCGTCGATAAATTAAATATTTTCACCGACCTAAGTTTCAGAGTTATGAATCTCAGAAAATAAACAAATAAGTGCTATACTCAATAAATTTCAGCATGAAGAGTCGCAAAGTGGAGTAATTCATTAACCTGCTGAGAGTCAAAAATAAACACTTTAAACTCTGAATTATCCTTTATTATACAAGCCAGAAAGAGTATACAGAACTTCAACCACTTGTACACACCACCTACATAAGAGGGCTAATTATAGTACATTTGTACAACAAGATGCTCAAAATCATGCAAGGAAGAGAAGGGCATTGATTCACTTTTACAGAACCAACGTATGGACTACCCAATAAAAGCTATAATATTCAAGAAGTCCTCAGCCTGTCAAATGTTGAAGAGCCATCGTGTGCAAAAATGTCCATGATTGTGTCGGATCCATCGCACCCGTGCTTATATGCTGCGAGAGACATGAAAAGGTGCTAGCAACGAGGATGATCAATCTTTCTTGTAAACCAATGTTGGATAATCCGGTCTCCACATATTGTTCTCCACGAACTCAGATATTTGTGCCTGCAATAGTTCCACCAATTAAAGAATTCAAGTTTTTAAATTATATTAACGTAAGCAATTATCACAGCCAACTGAACAAGTTTCTCGAACAATCAAAAAAGGTTTAGGTTCTTATTAGTTGCAGTTCAATAATGTTCTGAATTTCCACCAATTACAAAACCCTTGTTTTAAAAATATATTACTGTAGGCAATTATCACACAACTACACAAATTTCTCAGACGGTCAAAAAAGTTTTAGGTTCTCCTTAGTTTTTTTTTTTTTTTTTAAACCATTTGGTATCCAAAAACCACTATCCCAAGTTCCCAACTAATTCAAATTTGTGTCGTATAGGACCTATTCAAGGGGGAAGCATTCTCTACCAGGAATTTTTTCATTCCCATAGCTCGAAACCGAGACCTTTTCGTTAAAGGTGAAGGGATCTCATCCATCCCACCACATACATTGGTGGTAGATTCTCCTTAGTTGTAATTCAATAACATGTTGAATAGAAGCTACCACCAACTAAAGAATCCAAGTTTCAAAATATACTACTGCATGCAACAATCACATACAACTCAGGGTGGACACAGGTACATGAATCTCTTCCTTTCTGTTGTTGCCAGCGCTTTCCAGGACCAAGCTGGTATTTGTTATTACAAAGGGCAGGCAAAGCCTGAAGGCACTATCCCAAGAGAAAAGGGGGAACAAGGAGAGGGCCTAGAAGTTATCGTAATCTTGTCCAATATTGTGTAACCCTACATCCATCTTATATCCGAAATTTTACGAAATTTATCTTGCAGGTGCATCGGATCTTAGAGACCCAAGAATGCCTCACATTTAACTTTGTTAGACTCATAATCATGCTATAGAACTTGCCTTTCACCATGTTAGGTATTTTTCATCACATAGAAACCTCGTAGCATTCCTCCATTTCGTGTATCAATCTATTATGCGTGTTAAATCTTCAGCTATCATTTCCAATCTACCACGAGAATGAGCTGAGATATCTAAATTATGTGCATTTATGCACCATAGTATCGTCTAAATCTCATTTTCATTCATTCTTCTTATGCCTTCATTCTCATCAGAGCTAAATTTGCAATTCATATACTGTCTTAATTCCATCTTATTATGAAACCCTTGCAATTTAACATGCTTCCAGTGGTTCATAATTTTGGTTGATGACTCCCTTGCTAATTGCATCAATAATACAATAACTTGCGTAAATAGCATGTACTTCATACAATATATTATTGGTTAGCTCATTCATAACTGGGGTAATTATACATAATTAAAACAAGTCCCAGGTGCAAACACACGGTTTGGGAAGCTCCTATATATCTCCAAAGATAACTGGTTCATAAAGTAAAAATACCTCATCAAGTTTCCGTAACTCTCGACTGTCCATTTCACGGTATCCTTCTGCTAGATCCTCTTCTATAGCTTCCTTTACCACAGCTGCAGCTACCTCCTTTGTTATATCGCGTATCCTGTGATGAAAATAGTTCATTCACTAAGTTTACCAACAATGTAAATCTGATGCATAGAGAGCAATGACATCGTAGTGATGCATTTCAAAATGTAAAATGATTCTCAAGAGATGGAGAACTAGATCTAGAAGATTGAGGAAGTCTAGAGTTTTGTAAGACCGTCTTTACTTGACATCCAAGAGGGTTTTACTGGGAATTTAGCAGATCTTGAGAACTGGTGCCAACTTGAGACAAGTTTCTTATCAGTCTCCAACTAAAGAAATTCATAAGCATTTTTCTGAAATAAAAATTTCGTTTCTCATGTATGGAAGGCAGCTCCTGAGCAAACTGAGAAGATTAACATTCCTTATCTATTTTTAGGTGGCAGCAAAATAGAAAAAACTTCTTTACTAGTCTCATAATGTTGCTTTGTGTTCCTAAAGTTGCCTCCTAGTAGTTTTTCCCGGTAAGTTGTCCCCCCTGTAAATGAAGCTCCCAAATACTTCTAAAGAATATACCTGGATATCGAAGGGTATATAACCCCCTTGAGGATGTCCTCCTCTGTCATATACGCAGCCAAGCTGCAATATCCACGTCTTAGTTAGAAACTAGAAGTATATACTCATGTGCTAATAGATCGGTAGACTCGGAAACTTTACTAAAGCATCGAAAGAGGATAGTACCACTCAGCTGCAGCCTGTAACATGCCATCTGAAACAATTCTAGATCCAGACAGAAGAGTACCAAGTCCTATTCTGAAGCATGTACGAAAAACATTGTTAGGAGGAAAAGAAAAACAACAGAAAAGAGAATATGGAAAAGCTTAAACTAGCTAGCTTCATCTTTGGACATTTGTCTAACCCAGGAAAAAGGAACATGTTGTTTGCTTGGTTGCAGTGTCCAACATGACCATTTCCTGCAAAATTCCCATGCAGATAAAAATTGTTACTCCAAGGACAAGAACTGTACATCTGATATCAATTTATCTTGTATGGCTTTACCTATACCGAAATTAATAAAAAATAATAATTTTTCCAAACTTTTCTGTACGATATATTTTTCCCCCAAGTATTTTTGCTAAACATGCATGATGAATATCCTATTAGCATTTTTCTATTGTCAAAAGCAAGAAGAAATGCTATAAATGTTACACAAAGATGTAATTCTTTTTCTGAAGTACAGCAGAAAAATAAATATCAGAAAGTCGGACTGTAACATTTACCTTATCCTAAAAGCTTCTCTTTTTAAGTATTTAATTAGGTACAGAGAAGGACGAAACAAAGACACACACACACAGAGAGAGAGACAAGGACCACAGAGAAATTCTAAAATAGAACAACAACAATATACCCAGTATAATCCCACATAGTGGGGTCTGGAGAGGGTAGTGTGTACGCAGACCTTACCCCTACCTTTGTGGAGGTAGAGAGGTTGTTTCCAATAGACACTCGGCTCAGGAAAGCATAGGTACCCACAATAATAATAAGAAACAAGACGGGACAATACCGAAAAACCATGTAAAAGCAGCATACACAACAAGATAGTAAGATGATCGAAATGTTAAAAAAACGAAAGGTATTCAAATAAGCCTACTACCAACCAAATGCGAGAGTACGTACTAACACTACCGGCATGAATAATCTAGACTACCTAACCTACTATCCTAATCTTCGACCTCCACACCTTCCTATCACGGGTCATGTCCTCGGTTAGCTGTAGTTGCGCCATGTCATGCCTAATCACCTCCCCAACTCTTCTTCGGCCTACCTCTACCTCTCCTAAGGCCATCCAATGTCAACCTCTCACACCTCCTTACCGGAGCGTATGTGCTTCTCCTCCTCACATGACCAAACCATCTAAGCCGTGCTTCCCACATCTTATCCTCAATAGGGGTCACACCCACCTTGTCCCGAATAACTTCATTCCGAATCTTATCTAATCTGGTATGCCCGCACATCCATCTCAACATCCTCATCTCTGATACTTTCATCTTCTGGACGTGAGAGCTCTTGACTGGCCAACACTCAGCCCCATAAAACATAGTCAGTCTGACCACCGCTCTACAAAACATACCTTTAAGTTTTGGTAGTACCTTCTTGTCACACAAAAAACCAGAAGCAAGTCACCATTTCATCCATCCCACCCCAATACGATGTGTGACATCTTAATCAATCTCCTCATCCTTCTGTATAATATACCCAAGATACTTGAAACTCTCTCTCCTAGGGATGACTTGTGAATCCAGCTTCACCTCCCCTTCCACTCCTTGAGTAGCACCACTAAATTTACACTCCAAGTATTCTGTCTTGGTTCTGCCCAGCTTGAAACCTTTAGACTCCAGAGTCTGTCTTCACACCTCTAACCTCGCGTTAACACCGTTTCGCGTCTCGTCAATCAAAACAATATCGTTTGCGAATAACATGCACTACGGCACCTCCCCTTGGATGTGGCGAGTCAGTACGTCCATCGCCAAGGAAAACAAAAAAGGGCTGAGTACCGACCCATGATGGCAACCCATCATGACCAGAAAATGGTCTGAGACCCCTCCCACTGTCCTCACACAGGTCTTCGCTCCCTCATACGTGTCTTTAATCACCCTAACGTAGGCCACAGGTACCCCTCTAGCCTCCAAACAACTCCACATAACCTCCTTCGGGACTTTATCGTAAGTCTTTCTAAATCGATGAACACCATATGCAAGTCCTTCTTCCTCTCCCTATATTGTTCCATCAATCTCCTAACAAGTAACAAGGTGAATGGCTTCCGTAGTCGAGCGCCCCGGCATAAACCCAAATTCTAAAATAGAGATCAAGTTAAATCACAGAGGTGTATCTCTCAACCCAAAAGAAATTTAGGATAGTATCTGTCTTAAGATGTTCAACAATAATGTTCGACAATGTGTATAAACAAAACTTGGTTATGTTCCAATTTAGTCTTGCATAAAAGCATGCTTAGACTTCAAACAACCCTATATACATTAAGATCGTATGCACTTAAAAGTACTTTAAAATGTTGGTTTTCTTAATTAGTGAATGATATATCGAATCAAATTTGAAATATCTCACACAAATAAATAGAAGTTGTCATGTAATTATATGACTGAAGAATAAAAGAGTAGCATGACCAACAACGATTGTGATGGAGTGGTAAGTACTCCTTCATCCTTAACCAGAGGCCTCGTGTTCGAGCCCTGGGTATGGAGTAGCCTTTGTTAGGGAACGTTTTACCTCTCAATATGGGACTTCCCAGGTACGAATCGAGATTTAGCCATGCCCCAATGCCGGTACCGGAGACCGGGCGAAAAAACAAAAATTAAAAAAAATAAAAAAAAGATTAGCATGAATTTTCTCTTATACCTCAAAACTGCTACTGCTATCCCATTTTATCTGATTCTGGTTCCTTATTAGCAGTGTTGTGAAAAGCACTCGCTTTAGCGCTTTAAGCGTGAAGCGAAGCGAAGCGAGGCAGCCAGTAGGGTGAAGCGTAACAGATAGGTTGAAGTGTCCGCTTTTGCCAAAAGAGCGAGAAGCGCTAGCGAAGCGAGAAGCGACGGAAGCGCTCGCTTTTATCTTTTAAGTCACTTAAAAATAAAAAAGCTCAGTCTTTTTTTTACAAAATCAGCGAGCAGTAGAGCAAGCAGCGACTAGGGTTTCAATTTTCAAGCCCAGGTATTTTTTTTTCCTCCTCCTCCACCACCTTCTTCTTCTTTTCATTTCAGTGCTATTTATGCTGCCAAATTTTTTTTCCCCTTCAGTTCTTTTTCTCATTCTCCTCTTCTTCTTCTTATTTTCGTTTCAGTCCTTAAAATTGCAGCGAAATGATGTCAAATTTTTTTTCTTCAGTTCTTCATAGTTTTTGTCCTTAGTCTCACTGCCAATTTTTTAGTACTGGAAGTTACATGTGTTGTATGTAGTTACATGTGTAACATGTGTTGTCTATGCAGTATTTATTTTAGTATTATTTTTTTAATTCCACTTCATTCCAAAAAAGCAAGCGCTTCGCTTCTTGTTTCACGCTTTAAGTGAAAAGGGGCTTGTCGCTTTTCCTCGCTTCTCGCTCTTCACAACGCTGCTTATTAGTGTGTTTCCCCAAAAGATTGACACATTTCTATACTTGAAAACTATTTTAAGTTAACACCAAGTTTTTATCCTCAGTGATATGACTTGTTGGAAACCCACTTGATAAAAAAACGGACTTTTTTATTAGGAGAGAGAAAGAAGGGTTATGCGAAACTCTTACCACATCTCATTTAATTGTTGGTAGTATGTGCAATTTTTGTATTCTGCGTATATTTAACTTGTACATCAAAAGTCTTTGTTTTTTAAACTACCTGCCCAGTCAAAACCAGTCACATCAAATGCGACAAAAGAAGTAATTTTTATCAAGAATATTGGGATGAATGGAGCATTACAGATTACATAAATTTACTACTTTTTATTGGGATAATACATAATTACCCCCTGGGGTTGAACAACTTTTTCATATGCACCCTTTATCTTTGCGGGGCTCCTATGACCCCCCTGGACGATTTCGAAATGGAATTATTATACCCTTAATTAGCCAAAACCACGTATGTGTTGACAGGTGAAGCACGCGCGCCTGACACGTGTACATTTAATAAAAATATTTTTTTTTTTATTCTTTTGGCTTTATTTTGTTTTAATATTTTTTCTTTTTCTTTCCTTAATCTTCCTCCTCTGTCCTTCCCAGAAAGTGACTATCACTTCACAAAATTCTTTCCAAACTTTCTTTTTTCTTTCTTTTTTCTTTCCTTTTCCTTTTTATTTACCAGTTCTTAAATTGTCACATGGTTTATGGTTAAGAAGAATATGTGTGGATAACTGGTGGATTTGTGTCTTAGGTCACCGGTTCAAGCCCCCACACCATGCAAGGTAAAGCCTGGTATTTAAGTGGAGAAGGGTAGAGGGGCGGGCCCATTATCCACCGAATTTCGAAGGTTGCGGTTGGTCCAAAGGATCGGGCCCCAGATGGATTTCTCGGTCATCAAAAAAAATATGGTAGATCCGTCGAAAAGGATCGGCAAAAGTTGACTTGGAAAAAAAAAAGATTTGCCCGCTCTCTCAAATCTCAACTATTTTTTGCTGCTACATTCAAACAATTTTGGTTACTTCTAATAAGATTCAAGATGTGAGGGGTATAAAAAGATCGTACTTTTCAGTTATTTTCATGCAATTAAATTTGTTAATTATTTACAAATTAATCTGCAAATAACAGTGGGTGATAAATGAATTTTTAGATGAAGAATGAAGAAATGGGATGGCTTGTGATAGTAGAACAACGTTTCGAAGGTTCTTTTATTACAAATTTACAGATTAACAGCTTTTTTTTATAAAAATATTGGTGGGTTTAATTGTGGAAATTCGAAAGTGCTTTTTGGTGTTTCCTTGTGGCTCCAAAAATGGTGGAAGGTGATATTAGAGATGGAACATAGATGTGATATGAAGAGGAAAGTTTAATAAAATCGGAACAAGAAAGCTTGATTTTCGCCTTCAATGGCTATTAGTAGGGAGGGAGGAGAAAATGAAGAAGATGAGTGGATATGGAGTCAAATGAAGATGGTGGGTCCCACCAGAACTTTTTTGTCTTGTTTTTATTGTTCCTCACGTGTGTTGGGTTGGGAAAATGCGCTCTCGGTGCCACATCAGCACTGAAGGTGGTATTTATTTCGCTTCAAAAATAGCCAGGGGGTCATAGAATTCCCGCAAAGATAAATGGTGCATCTGGAAAAGTGGTTCAACCCCAGAGGGGTTATTATGTATCATCCCTTTTTTATTGCTATCTATGTATAAAAATCTTACATACATGTAAACCAGTATTCCAAATGTTAAAAAACCAAAAGGAGAAATGTATGAAAACTCTATCAAGATGGAGAAATCCAAAAGAATGATAGCAGGTGTTGGAATACATAAGTTACTAGACATACCAAGATCCACATCCTTGAATGGGCTTCCACTTGCAAAAATAATGTTGTCACCAACAATAGAAAATGCTTCCTCAGGGGTGCATTCAGCTATTAAAGAAGAAAGTTGTGAATGAGAATGCCATCAACCTCAAAATCTTTTAAGTTTTCAATTAGTATATACCATTTCTTGTTGGGTTTGACATTGGAAAAATTGCAGGCCGAGTTGAAGTTGAATGTCTAAGGGCTTCCAATACCTGAAATTTCCAAAATTTCAAACACAAATCTTCCAGCAGTGCCAAAATAGAAATTAAAGCCTACAAAGACAGCCAATAAATCTGTCATGCCAAATCATCATTATAACCACACACACAACAAAAAAAAAAAAAAAAAAAAAAAAAAAAAAAAAAAAAGGAAAGATGGTTTCAAAATCATATTTGAAGAAAAAAAGAAAAAGAAAACAATCATATGTTAATCTTGTTAGCCATCTTCCATTTTTTTTTTTGGAGATGGTCCATAATTCAGAACCAAGAAAAAGCGGAAAAGAAACCACAAAAAGAATNCAAATAATAGCCCGGGCTGCTCCCTCCCTTCCTCTTAAAAGCATCCCATTCACACAGTTTAGCTCAGTCACCCACATAATTGATCATAGGGAATAACTTTACTTTACCCACATAAAGTAATGCACCAAAGCACTTCACTTTGTGATAAGTACACATGCTTTCTTTAAATCTTAAGCGAAGGTATAATTAAAACCCGAAACCTGGGCAAGAGAAAGTAAAGGACAAACAAAACCGGTATAGAGTCGTCATACAGAAATCAAAAGTAAACCAGAAAAAAAAGAAAGATAAACAGAACACCTTAAAGAACCTGCACACGGTATTGTTACGTGGTTGTCTCAGAAAAACCACCATTCAAAGTTAAAGGGCTCTCATATTCTCTTTTCCGCTTTCTCCTTTACAAGTCACATTTAAAGCAGCTCTCCATTCTCCGGCGCACAAATGCCAATCCAAAAAAGCCAACTTTAATGCTCACAAAAGGAGGGGGAAGGATGTGTTTCCAGTTCTCACACCTTTAAGAGGCCATAATGCTAAGAAAGATTTGGGAGGAAAACATGTGCTCCAACTAAAGCAAAAACATTTCCATGTTCAATTTTTAAATCAGCTAACATTAAGTTATTATTCTGAAATGGAAAATGAGAATCCTTAAACCCAGTCTTGGCCCGTTCTTTATATGTCAGCATGCAGACACAAGTCTGCTACAATGAACTTAACAGAAGCAGACAAGAAAATCCAATCACCATGCCTCAATGTTGATAGACAATTACACAATTGACATATTTCTTAGTGGGAAATAGCATTGTGGTTTCACATTTTATGACAATACAAGAAAGTTTCTCTTTTTCGAGTTTCGAAAGGTCATCCACGAAACAGAGAGCCTCTCGTCTTTACTAAAACACTATCTCCAATGGATAGGGAATGGCGTCACTCTGATTTGCAGAATAAGAATTAGGAGCTCTCCCTTATATGGCAGAGATATTTTCATACCAAGAAAATGAATAAAAATGGATCAAACCCCTCCATTTCCTTCCGATTGGTGAGAATCTCTCTTTCTTGGGAAATTATGGTCAAGCCATCCCCCCTTTATTCCTCAGAATCACAGGGAGTGTTTTCACAATAAACACTTTAAAACAATGAACTAAGAGGTTAGACATCAAATTTATTAAATTAATAGAAACCCACTCAATATGTTAATTTTTCACATAAATTGCTGAGATCTGGAATCCAGCAAATTTGCCTGACCAAGTTAAACCAAAAACTAGATCTATTTTGGAATCTGGAGATGCAATTTAAAGTATATTTAAAAGCAAACTTTCTCATGTAAAAAGTGTATAATTAAAAACAAAATCAACATATTTATTTAGCATGACTTTATCTTGTTGTCTTTTGAATGATTTTTCCATAATTATTGGACGTTAGAATAAAAATTAAGCATTCAACTTAAGATTGTCAAATTTAAATTTCGACTAGTAAAACCCATCCTACAAGCTAGAAAATTTGCAATTTCTAAATTCGAATTTCATATGAAAGAAGCGGACACCTCAATTCATTTGCAATGAGTTGTAGCAGTAGTTTTTACTTAAAATCTCGTTATTCGAAGAAATCTGTGTGATTTCCCCCTAAATTTCAGAACTATATCTTCAAAGAACATTGTGCGAACCATCTTTCATTCTAGCATCAAGTGCTACAAGAAATTATCATGTATAAGCGAGATAACAGCAAAGCAAATCTCCATGAAAATATATAAATTAAGTTCTTCTCGTTGCGGCAACAAAATAAAAAGGAACAAGTGCATATATTTATGTAGCTAAAATAAATGCCAAATTATCGATTCTTCATTTTATACCTCTTTTGAAAACAAGCCTCCAACAGCAGACAAACCAAGAAGTACATCCGGCTTCACTTGGTGTACCTGAACCAATACATAGTAAGATTGGAGTCATACTAATAGTACACAGCGATAAACATAAGAGATGTTTCACTCATGAATTAATGCATTTCTTGGTATATAAGCTTCTATCTCTACTCCCTCCATCGGCTACCTAACTTTTTCACTCTTCAACTCCGTCATGTATGCTCACGACTAAAAAGACAAGCTATACGAGTTCACAAATCAGCTGATGGGTAATAGCTATTCAAAGTCAAAGCCTCATGAGTACCTACGCTTCATGATTACCTACAGTTACTGTAATAGAAGGACTTTACACTTTTAGCTTATGAAAGATCTTAATCTTATATTCTTGTTGCATTGAAATCCATGTTCTCAGCACCATCGTTCAAGTAAATTGTAAATTTAAAGTTCTAGTTTATCTCGACTTAGGTCTTGTCAGAGTTTAGCCATCATCATATTATTTCACTCATCTGTCCAATTAGCTTCTATCCTTCAACCAACATAATTAGTTGAATTTGAACACAACTGTGATATCTTGTTTTGCCTCGGTCTACATTTCCTTGAGATGTCAAATGTTTATCTGATAAATGAAACAGTCATCATGTAAATTTTCCTTTTTATGTATACTTAACTATACTCAAAGTAAACAGTTGAAAAATAAGAAAATTCCAAGTTGGTATTAAGACAAGACGGTCCATAAAAAACCCTGAGTCTTAAAAAAATGAGAAAGTCAGTTTTTGCTCATTAAAGGATAAAGGCTAATTACCACTTCCGCAAGAGTTGCACCTTCTCTTAGTCGTTGGCGTTCAGTCTCTTTGATCTTTCTGGCAAATGGGCGAGCATCAGGATCAATATTTTCACGTGCCTCAGTAATTAATCCCTAAATACATTGTTAAACACCTTTCAATAATAACGTCATAGTTACACCCACCTAAAACATTTCATATCCACAAAGAAGATATTTATAGAAATGCAAAAAGAAGTCCAAACTAACATTCACCATAGATCGACGTACTGTAGGCATTCGATCAGACTACTTTTGAATATCTAAGCACGGAAACTTAAAGAGCCGCATCAAAAGCATTAAAGGAACAACAGAAGTCTGAATCATGAACTGCTCACAGGCAAGAAGCACCTCAGCACTTTTCACGACCTTGCTTGTTGCTTTGCCCCATATAATTATTGCCAAAAGAGACTGGTACTTAATATGTGGTATACCCTATAATTACTCACTATGTGTCAAATTTCTGCCTGATATTCCACTTCTTTTGCTATATCTGTACTCTCTTTCCCATCTTTCTATGCAATAAACTCAAACCACCACTGGATTTTTACTTGTACATAGGGCTTGTGCTCTCACTGTATATCTGTGTGTTTTGAGCCAGGATCGGCATTGTCAAACGTGAGCATAGAAAAGCCCAAAAGTGGAAATTATATACACAATGCAAGAAAAAACAGTAAATACAAGCAACAATTCTATGGATCTTTGAATTGAAAATATATGAAGTAAAAATGATGTAATCTAGTTAAAAATAGTATATTACATGAAATATATTAAGTAAAACTATGATGTAATCTAGTCCAAACCATTTTGACTTCTGATTCAGACAAAAAGATGGAATCTTAAGTTAATAATGTAGGTCATGTAGTCAGTTTGCTTATTGTAGATTTATAATTTCTATTTCTAATCAGTAAAAATTCATTCATTCATTAACATAATATATCACTTTGTCGATTATATTTATCGTTTAATAAATTCCTTTTCAAGGGTGATAAGGTCCCAGACCCCACATGCTGGGATCAAACTGGGTTTGTTGTTGTTGTTGTTGTCGTCAAGGGTGATAAGGTGCATCTTAGTAGCCTGACGTTTTGATGCCTGGACTGAAGCGCTGCCTGACTTACGCAAAGTGCCGAACCTATGTCCCACCTGCCTTCAAGACTTGAGCACGAACCTTTTAGCAAAACCACTATGGACGAGACTATTATATCAAAATATTAAGCAACAGTGAATTGAGAACATATAATACTAGAGTTTCACACAAACATGTGCATGACAATGCTGTCAAAAGCAAAAGACGCACTGAAGTACCAAAGTATGTTAGGGTAAAAGCATAGTGTAATTAAAACGCATGATTTAGTAAAGAATGGTGTATAATGAAGAAAAAAAATGTATACACTATATATATATATAGTGTATACATAATGCACGGAAAAGTAATTATGACCAAATAAGCAAAATTATATTAGTGTTATTGAAATAAACATAATTAAACGTATAAGCAGAATATATAGCTTCTGGTGAAGCTGCTAAAGAAGTTGTATGGATGAAAAAATTCTTAACTGAACTTGCTGTGGTTCCTTCAACAAACGGTGCAACTCCATTGTTGTGTGACAATTCTTGTAACGACCTGACCGGTCGTTTTGAGCTTTATCGTTTTCGTTCGGCGGTTTGAGTGGTTTGAGGCTTTGAGTAGCTTCATATGGTGCATTATGACTTGCGGTTATAGTTCATTTCGATGTTCGAGTTTTCGGGATCGTTTTGGAAGAATGATTCTCAATTGGGAAGCTTTAAGTTGGAAGGGTTGACCAAGGTTTGACATAACAACTTGAAATAAACTTCATACACATGCTATGCATACTCTAATACGATCATGCTAATTTTCTAGAATTTTGTTAACGGAGGGGGGCCTCGGCCCGGGAAGGGGAGAGTGGCCGAGTGGTCAAAAGCGGCAGACTGTAAATCTGTTGAAGTTTTTCTACGTAGGTTCGAATCCTGCCTCTCCCACTTGTTTGTTGTAGACTTCAGAGAAGAGAAAAGAGGCATTCGTCAGCGTAGGAAGCCTCAAACGTGGCACTTTTGCGTCATACGACTCCGTCCCGGAAGCAGGACCTTCCCTTTCCTTTGACCAACGGGTCCTCAAACCTTTATGATTTCGTGCCAAACCTGGTCTCCATCTTCAAACTTCTCGTTCGATGAGACCCCAGGTCTCGATGTTTCCGTTTTCTAGGTCACGCCTTAACCTTGTTAGAAAGCGAAGTTCGATTACCCTGGAATTTGGTGGGACACTAGGAAACGGCCTAACGACCAATGCTCATCCTTTTTCCATGACTTTCAGGTTCATTATCAATCACAATAAGAACCATCTTAAATTTCGGGTCAAATGGCAAGATACATTTTAAGTTTCTACTTCGGGTTATTGGGACTTTAAGGCATAAATGGTAGATCTGAGACAAAACACATATACTTCAAAAACATAAAATTTTAGTTATTAATAATGTTATTTTAGTTTTATTTTGAAACTCCAGTACTATTGTTGCTTGTATAATTGACCTTTCCTGATTGATTCTGAAGTAACTCATTTGTTACTGTTGTTTCAAAATGTATTTTCATTTTTCCTCTGGAAGCACATAAAAAGGTTTGGAGAAGCTCGGCTATGCATCATGATGGAGGTCGACACCAAAAATAGCGCTCGTAGCCCACGCTTCTCAGCTTGTTTGATGTTCCATACATGAATTTTTTCACTTCTACTTATGTTCGGGGACGTGGAGTATGAAGAATAAACAAGGTCTTAAAAAGTTGTCCCTGCTCAGCCTTTTGAACCATCTATTTCATTTTCATGATATTTGCGACAACTTAAGAGTTTCCATGATCAACTATTCTGTTTTTTCCTTCTATTCCCTACACTATCTCTAAACAGGTAGTAAAATATAGACATTTCAACAACAACAAAAAACCCAGTGTAATCCTACAAGTAGGGTCTGGGAAGGGTAGTGTGTACGCAGACCTTACTCCCACCTTGTGCAGATAGAAAAGTTGTTTCCGATAGACCGTCGGCTCAACCCAGCATACTCGCGATATTTAAGCAAAAGAAATATAGTAACGAAAAAGTCATGAAAAAAGCAATAACAGCAGTGAGATAGTAACAAAACCGAAGCAGAAGTAACAACAGATAGTGATAGACATCCAAGAATAGGATAAAAATAAGAGTAATGCTAAAACCACCGGTAAGGACCGGAAATAAGCTATGCTATCTACTAACCTTCTACCCTAATTCTCGACCTCCACAACTTCGTAGCAATGGTTATGTCCTTAATAAGCTGAAGATGGGCTATGTTCTGCCTAATCACCTCTCCCCAATACTTCTTCGACCTTTCTCTACCTCTCCGTAGACCCATTATATTCAACATCTCACACCTCTTCACTGCGTGTCAGTGCATTTCCTCTTCACATGTTTGAATCATCTCAGCCTCATTTCCAGTATCTTATCCTCCACGGGGGCTACCCCTACCTTTTCCTGAATATCTTTGTTCCTTGCCCTATTCCTCCTAGTATGTCACACATCCATCTCAACATCTTCATTTCTGCTACTTTTATTTTCCGGACATTAGAGTTCTTGACTGACCATACTCCATCCCATACAATATAATCAGTCTAACCCCCACTCTGTAGAACTTACCTTTAAATCTTGGCAGCACACTCTTATCACACAAGACACCGGATGCAAGCCTCCATTTCATGTACCCCGCTTCAATACGGTGTATGACATCATCATTAATCTCCTCGTTATCTTGGATTACTGACCCCAATTACTTGAAACTTCCTCTCTTGGGATGACTTGTCATCAAGCCTCACTTCCACTTCAGCTTCCTGAGTTAAGTCACTGAACTTGCACTCAATGTATTCGGTTTTGGTCCTGCTCAACTTGAAACCTTTGGACTCCAGGTCTGTCTTTAGACCTCCAGCCTAGCATTAACTCCGCGTCGCATCTTGTCAATCAGCACTATGTCATCTGCAAATAATGCACCAAGGCACCTTTCCTGAATGTGTCGCGTCAATACATCTATCGCCAAAGCGAATAAGAATGGGCTAAGAGTTGATCCTGGTGCAACCCCATCACGACTGGGAAGTGTCCCAAGTCTCCTCCCACTGTCCTTACCGGGTCTTTGCNTTTCAGTAGAAGATTATCCATATATGGTACAGTAGCAGCTTACACACTGCAACCCCATCACGACTGGGAAGTGTCCCAAGTCTCCTCCCACTGTCCTTACCGGGTCTTTGCTCCATCATACATGTCCTTAATCGCCCTAGTGTACGCTACAGGAACACCTCTAGCCTCCAAGCACCTCCGTAGGACTTTCCTTGGGACTTTGTCGAATGCTTTCTCAAGATCAATGAACATCATATGAAAGTCTCACTTCCTCACAGTATACTGCTCCACCAATCTCCTTATAAGATGAATGGCTACAGTAGTCGATCGCCCCGGCATAAGGCCGAACTGGTTCTCGAAAATAGGCACTATCCTCCTTACCCTCATCTCCACCACCCTCTCCCAAATTTTCACAGTGGGGCTTAACAGCTTGATACCCCTATAGTTGTTGCAATTTTGGATATCACCCTTGTTCTTGTACGACTAGGAAATCTCCCGAGTCTCCTTCCATTGTCCTTAGTCGGGTCTTAGCACCATAACACATGTCCTTAATCGCGCTAGTGTATGCTACAGGAGCACCTCTAGCCTCCAAACACCTCCATATGACTTTCCTTGAGACTTTGTCGTATGCTTTCTCCATATCAATGAATACTATATGCAAGTCCATCTTCCTCACCCTATACTACACCACCAATCTCCTTATAAGATAAATGGCTTCGATAGTCGATCGCCCCGACATAAAGCCGAACTAGTTCTCGAAAATAGACACTTTTCTCCTCATTCTCATCTCAACACCCTCTCCCAAATTTTTATAGTGTGTTGTTGCAATTTTGGATATCACCCTTATTTTTGTACAACGGAATTATCGTACTCGACCTCCGTTCCTCGGGCATTTTAGATGTCCTAAAAATGACATTAAACAGCTCAGTGAGCCACTCTAAGCCAGCGCTGC